CAGTCTCCTACTTTCAGACCCTTTCTGAAAATCAACAATTTTGTGCTTTGGTCTTGTCTTTTCGAAGTGATCTCTGTACACAACCTGGATGTTCATCTAATAAAAGTCAAAGCGCATTCAAATAATCTTTTGAATAACAAGGTAGACGCTATGGCAAAAGACGCTCTCACCCTTTCTGTCTTGCAATTTAATATGACGGCTGCTTCACAAAGCTTCTTTAATTACAACAACCAGCCTATTCTTTTACCGATTAGACAATTTGTAAAGGACATCTTCCGGCACAAGCATCTTCAGCAAATTTTATCATTGCATGTAGTCAACAAATATCACCCATTCTTCAAAATTAATTGGTTTGTTACCTTATTCTGCCTCAGTGACAATATCGCTATCAATCACACATCATACGTGACATCTACCATAAGAATGAAAAAATTCCAACGACTGCTGGAAATGCTTCCTACAGTTGAAATTTTGAAAATTAGACACCCGTCTTTGTTCCTGCCCTCAGCCCTGTGTCCTTGATGTGAGGCTGCAGACGAGGATTTCTTCCATATATAGACCTATCTGATGGTTAACTATCAAATGAAACTGCTCATACAATGAGTTAAAAACTACCTTAGAGTCATTACCAATGCACATTTGAACGAAATTGACAATCTTAATTGGTGGAACCTCTCAACTTCCTTCTCCTTTGTGATTCTCATTAAAGGCATTATTCCCACTACCCTCTTTGGTCTCATTCACAACAACCTTCCACACATGCTTACAGCTTTAGCTGCGTGTTCATCCCTCATGCACTTCATTTATGAAGAATCACAACGTTTTTGGATTAAAAGGTGTACCTACCAATCTGCCATTAAGAAAGCTACCAATATTAACCTTAAAGATAAAAAGGACAATTTCACTTCTTCAGGTTTTGATCTTTCCCCTAGTATTCCTACTAACAACAACAACGTTGATCCAATAAACACCATGATGCAACTTGGATCCCACTGGACGAATTTTTGATGCAATAGTAGCCAAGCCTTCTCCTGTTTTACTTTTCGTTTAAATACTCAGAAGTGATAGTTTTAGCTTAGGTTAGAATTGATCTGGTGGAGTGCAGGGTCAGTCTTCTATAGTCTAGTTTTTCTTTTCTGTACGAGATTTTCATTTTTTCTTTTTGATCTGTATTTTACTTTATATTATACTTTTATCATAATAAAGATTATTTGGAACTACCGCACTTTAAAAAAAAAAAAAAAATATTTAATATAAATAATAATATAATAAACAATTATTAATTTATTTAATCAACTTTGTTATTTCTAATTTAACGATAATAAATTATTCAAGAAGAATGATTGGTTGACCTGAATTTTTATCAGTTCAGGTCAGGTCGGGTCGACCTGTTGATCCGACCTGACATCAACCTGAAAATCTATTGACTTGACCTGAATTTTCAGGTCAGTTCAGATCAGGTAAACAGGTTGACCTGACCTGATTCGGAGCTCTACTTGTGTGTTATATTAGCTGATGAGATTTTTGTTAATTAGTACAGTTTGAAAGTCTTGATAAGTTTTGAGCAGCTTGTTAATTGTTGAAGTGAATTCAGTGATTTTTTATTATTGTTTTTGGCATATATCGATGAGTTGTTCATTGGTTTTAGTCTGTAAGTGGATAGTACAGAGAGATGCATCGATGAATGGAGATTCATGTCTACTTCAGTAGCATTATCTGAAAGTGTATTGTTAAACGATTCAGCTTCTTGAAGGGTTATAACTTTAATGTTCAGTGCCTTTTCGACCACTTTGAGGCGAGATTGCGAAAATTTGAAGGCAGAACAAAAGTCATCAAGAGTACTAGCAATAGATTCAAGTTGGGACGTGATGAATTTCTTAAAGTCAGGGTCATGCATTGAACCACCTGCTGCTGTTCCATTTTTAATATTTGGAGTAGGATACACAGTATTGTCAAAAATAGTATCATCATCCATTGGTTTGTCCTCCCACCTTAAGACAGGTAATTTGTTAGGAATTTTATGGGTAATATTAGGCTTCTTTGGTGGCGGAAGAGGTGGAGGAGGTCGTTTGTTGTGTGGTTGCAGGCATCTGATATTAGAGCTCGAAAAATTAGCAACATCAGCAAATGTAATGTTATCTCTAACAGCACCACAAGGTTTCTTAGGTGCAGTATATCCGTTAAATTGGGCTGGTTGAAACCTTTGGTACAGGTGTTGAGTGTTTTTGTCTTTAAGAGCATTTCTAAAACAAAAAATTTATAAAACTAACCTTATTTATGATGATCAATTTTGAACCAATCAAAATTAATTAATAATTATGTGATATTTCACATAAAATTCATATCGTAGAAAAAAATCTCGCTCGTCATTGTTGCTATCTTTTTCTTAGTTGTCTGATCCCCATGGGTTAAAAGATCTAATTCTAATTTCCTACTTGTACAAATCCTAATATATCAGTTGAAATGAAAGTATTAATCTGATAATTTCATAATGTTTGTTGATTTATTATATACCTGTCTTAGTCCACGTTGACGTTTGTTTGAATGATTATATTCGCTTGTGTGAATTTGGAAAGGCGGATTAACAAAATGGAAATAATCATCTATTGTCCGTTTGGGTCTTTATTATTGTCCTAAAATTAAAATCGAAGTTTATTAGGAACAAGATCGCAAAATAACAACTATAAATAAAAAATGTTTCGACCAATCCATTGAAACTTCCACCATATATATTCCCATTTATAGTTTCACTGATGTCTGCAATTGTCAAATCCCGTCCACGTAAGCGTAATTCCTTCCTACTCTCTCGCTTTTTACGGTCTGGTTGGTAACCCAAGTAAGGTCACCGACGCGCCAACACCAGTTTCGTGGCTCGGCAAAGAGTCTTGAATGAGCGCCTACCAAGGAGGTCCACGTCACGCCACTTTCCCAACCTAAATTCCCAATAAAAAAATCAGCACCTACTTTTGATATTTATCAAATAGCGCCTGATCACTTTTCTTCTTAATATCTTGCTCGAAGTTAACGATTTTTTTGAGCCAATTTATGTAAGAATCTATTTCATATCTATAGTAACATTAGACAAAATGGTTGGCCCAATAAAATTTCCATTTTTATATTTGTCAGGAACTCTCGGATTACGTCCATCCAACACTAATTTTGCTCCTTGATTAACTCCGCTTTGAATCAACCTTTCGACACGTGCTTTCGCATCTCGGGATATTAAGGGTCCAATATCGACATCAGGTTCAAATCCTCCAGCTATTTTGAGCTTTTTGGCACGTTCCACGAGTTCAGGAAGCCATTCCTGTGCTTCCCCGACAAAAACAGCGGTGGATAACGCCATACAGCGTTGTCCTGCTGCACCAAAAGCAGCACCAGTTAATTGATTTAAGGTATGGTTCTAATATGCAAATGTAATATTATTTCGTCAATAGTAACTTCACTTCTTTAAACGATTGTATACATTTATTCTATACCTTATTGGAATCTGACATTATAACACCGTGATTTTTTGCACCTAAATTTGCCTAATAAATTTTAAAATATAAGAATAAAAATCGTGAAAATTTTAAAAAGAAATGGAAGTATATATCTAATTATACCTGTACTCTCTTTCCATGTGAAGTACCTCGCTGATAAATATATTTACCAACTGTACGTTAATAATTTATGTGTAAATATTTGTTAAAATACTTTGATAAAATTCATATTATTTGATTACTTACCTTTGTCACTCCCTACAAATGAGATCGCTTTAACATGTTCATTATCGCACAAAAAATTTACAGTTCCGACAGATCCATGAACAACATTCAAGACACCATCTGGGACACCCGCTTCTTTCGCCAATTGAGCAAGTATCATCATAGCACCCGGATCACGTTCGCTAGGTTTAATAATCATTGTATTTCCAGCAGCAATAGACAAAGGAAACATCCATAACGGTATCATAGCAGGAAAATTAAATGGACAAATACCAGCCGTAACTCCTAATGGCTCTCTCATGGTGTATGTATCCATATCTGTAGCTACAGCTAATTTTTCACCCATAAGCAGATTTGTAATACCGCATGCGTTCTCTACTACTTGTCTGCCACGTAAAACATCGCCTTTTGCGTCAGCTAAGGTTTTGCCTTGTTCTTCAGTGATAGAATTCGCTATTTTATCGGTATATTCGCGGATTAAAAGCTGTAAATTTAATAATATTTGTTGTCTAGTGAGAATTGTAGTTTTTCGCCAAGATTTAAATGCTTCGGCGGCAGATTCTGCCGCGTCATTCAATTCTCGCGGTGTAGTTTCCGGAACGCTGGTTACTAATTCATTAGTTGCCTTAAATACGACATCATTTTATATAAATAAAAAGTTATATAACATCAATAAGAGATTTATTCTTATTACTTACAGGATTATAAACAGGAATCCAATTATCAGTCTTTGATTCAACAAATTCTCCATTGATAAATAAACGAGTTGTTCGATCCTTTTTCAGATGACCAACTGGTGAAGGTAAATGTGTAGAAAATGGGCGGTTTATTTTCCAATTATTGTAAATGTTCTTTACTATAATTGTAGTTTTAAAATGATATTTTAAACGAGAAAACATTACACTAAAGAAGGTTATGATAGTAACCCGCCAAATTTGTCAATCTCGAGAACAATTTTATCCCGTTTAAGCCTATACATAAATAAATTTACCGCTGATTGCAAAATTGTGCGACCCACTTCGTGATTTTTCAGTTTGAAATTTTGGATTTTTTTGTTTAATACAAAATTACCGTTTTTAGTAATAAAATCTGACTCCTTAAAAATTGAATTAGCATTAACATTCAGATTGACCTTTTTTTAACGTGTTCTTTGCATTTTTGTTACGCGTTTTCTTAAAAAAATGTAACAATGGACTTACAAAGTATAATATATACTAACACTATACCTTTAAATATAAAACCAGAAAGAACACGTGTGTTATTTGTGGTATTTGTGAAACTTGTGAAGAATATATAGTAAGCAGTAACCATAAATGCCCAAACCGAAGACCTGAAAAAGACTTTGTATATAGAAAATTTGAAGCACGAGACAAAGATAATTTTGAATTTGTAGAATTAAATAGTTTTTGGAATGTTGAAGCAGATTTTGATAAAGACTTTTATTATGGTTTATGTATACGTTGTTATCAGGATGCAATTGGTAAGAAATAAAAAAAAAAACTAAAAGGTTTAGTTATTAAATTATTATATTTAATAGATTTTGATAAAGAAACTATTAAAGAAACAATAATTGAAGAAATTAGCAGTGACGAATCAGAAGAATTAGATGGTTAGTTTATTAGCATTACGATAGAATTTCAAACATAATGATAATTATATTTATTTTAATTAATGTAGATCTTATTGAAATTCCTTTACTTAAACTTAACGAAGAGGGATATCGTAGTACTGTTGGAGTCTCTATTAAATTACATCCTGAACATGAAACTTTATCTAATGCATTAAATTTTATTAGAAATAAATTCTATGGAATATGGAAGGATGTTAATTTTAATTCTCTTTTCTATTTGGAAAAACAAGCTAAAAAGGCTTCACATTATGCTATTCTTGATGACCAAGAATTCGAGAATTTATTTTAAATTTTCTTAGAAACAAGAAAGTACAATTATGTGTTGAGCTAGAAGATTTTAAAGGTAACTGTTTAAACTAATTCTGTTAAAAATTTTCTTTTATTAATAATTACATATTTAATTAATTTATATATTTATTTATAGAATCTGCAACTAAAACAAATACATTAAAGAGATCCTTAATGCAAGATACAAATGTAAAAGCTGTAACTAAAGAAACCAGTAAAGTAAGTATCTCTTTAGCATTAATTTTTAAATGATTTCGAATAATACAATAATGCTAATTTATATTTATTTTTTAAGCAATTCAAAAAAGCTGAACAGATGAGCGAAATATTTGACGATAGAAAAAAAAGATCTGAAATATTAAGTCATTTGCGTAATGCATATTGTACAGGATCATGGTGTGAAAGCCTTACTACTGTACCAATTTAAAAAAAAATATCAAATTTTTTTTTTTTTTAGGGCATCCTTAAATTGTATTCCGGGTTCAGGATATTATCCTAGACCGCAACTGTACTTATCACGTGATAAGTACCTTAAAAATATTTATTTATACATGGGGTCTAGGATAATAACCTAAACCCAGAGTCTAGGTTAAATTTTTCCTTTTTTTTATTATTCAGATGATCAGACAATTTCTTGAAAGCTTAAAATTTTTCAACGTTAAGAAATTTAGAGATCAAAATTTAGTAATTTGTTTATTTCTTAAGTGGTATATAAAATTACTCCTATATAAAAATAATCTAATCTACTATAAACCTAAAGAATTATAGTATATTTTGAAAAAAAGAGTAAAGTAAAAAAATTGTTTTTACATTTTCAAAATAAAAGATACTTAAATATTTGAAGCTTATCTAAAAAAGAAAAGAAAAAATAAGGATTAATAAAAGATTATTAATACAAAACCATAAAAAATTCAGAAAGAAAAGTCAATAAAAAATAATTTATTATCTAATTAAAATATCTTTTAGAAGATTTTTTGTTTTTTTTGTAATTTCTTTTGTAATTTGCTTTTTTTTCTTAGTAATACTAGCAAAAATTTATTAATTTTAATTACTGAATTATTAATTTAATTTTTTGCTAAATTATTTGTAATTCATTACTTTATAAAATAAAAAAATACCTTATATTTACTGATTTTTGATTAATTATTCTAAGTATTTAGTTAATTATTTTTTCTTTTATTTTTGAATTATTTCTAATATTTTTAAATAATATTTAACTTTTTTTCTTTTAGTTTTCAAATAACTAATTTCTCTTTCTTAATTATTATTTTAATTTTATTTAACTTTAATTTCTTTTTACTAAAATTCTTTTAATAAAAAATTTTTTTTTTTTTTTTTCTCTTTTTAAAACTTTTATTTTTCTTTTTAATTCTTTTTATTTATTAATAATAAGTTTCCCTTACTTTATTTCCTCCTTTAGATTTGATACAAACTGGTTGAATTTTTAGATCAGTAGCAACCACGCCCCCTGTACTGGATGGTTGATCCTATTCTAAATTTATTTAGGCAGGTTAGTCTGGAACGGTGCAAGGTTGATTTTGATTTGGCTTTATTGTTAAATAGAAATTTTTGTATTCTCTATCTTGTAATTTGTAATGTTGTAAAACTTTACTTTACTCTTAAATAAAGTTTATGCAAAGCTGCCGCACGTAAAAAAAAAAAAAAAATTTATTAATAATAAGATAAAAAGCTTTTTAGTTTTTTTTAACTTAGAAATACTTTTTTTTTAAATCTTTTTTTAACTTAATGTAATTATTTAATTTAATTAATAAATCTTTCTTTTCAGTTTTCTAAAATTTTTAAATTATTTAATTTTAACCAATTGCTTTTTTTATATTTACTATATTATTATAATATATTATTTTATTATATATATTATTACACAAAAGAAGACATGAATGATGATGATCTAAAGGATGACGTCGATCCCTAAGAAATCATATATGTCTTCTATGTCATCTATGTTGTCTATAGCATATATTTCTTTTATACAATATATTTCTTTTATTTATTTTATCTTATTTATCTCATATATTTATTATA